GTCCCCTCATCATGTTTTAAATCATTCTCTATTTGTATTAAACCATTTAAACATGGACTCAAATAATAATTCCTCTACTCTTAAGCATTAGACAATAAAAAAGATGACATCATCATTGCCACAAGTACTATGGAGAGACTTGCTTTCGAGATCCTGAAAAGGACCCGACCCTCTGATAACTTCGGGGCGAGGGTATGCTTGTATCTTTCCACAGGATGCAAAATCACCCATATAGATTCCAGACAGACTCATCAGGCCGACGCCACAAAAAACTACAAAAACAAAAAAAAAAGTTAACGACGGCCCGGCTCACTCAAAAAATAAAAAAGCTAACCCTAAAGCGACAGAAGCTTCCAACATGGACCCAGCTAAAACATCTGGCGACAAAAACAAAAGCACTTGCCTCATAACAATATTCTAACCCTCCTTTAGAAATGCTATTTGTAGCCATATTGTCCTTGATTGCTGTTGGGCCTACTACGGCCTCTACCAGTCCTTCTACCTATTGGGCTTATGTTCCTCGTCCTCCCCTCTTACATGTAGTGGGGTGGTTGGATGATGAGACTTATAAGGTATTGAGCAATCAGACGGAGATCATCGGGGGTTTCCAAAATTCAGATAAAAGGACAAATGCTTCCTCATTTATAAACTTTACAGGAAGCTCAGATTCATTACCAATTTGCTTCGCCCTAAAAAAAATAGCTCCTCCTGGATGTCTCTCCACCAGCTACAAAACCTTTTTAACTGATGCCCCCAGCTCTACCGGTAAGAAAGGAGATCCTAGATGGATCTGGGAGACTCAACTGCTTACTCTGGGACTTCCCACTATGAATGAAACTTTTAAGTCTCTCAATTTTATGCCTCTTGATTCCTGTATTACTAAGTATCAGGATAAAAATCAATTTTGGGATGATGGTATTACCGCCTTTCCTACTTGGTTGCGTTATGGGTTTCCTCACACAGCCTCCTCCTACAATCCTTTACTGTCTAAATTGCTTATTTGGGATTTTTCCGCCTCTTCTAGAAAAAAAAAGTATAAAAATTATATCTCAAAAAATAAAGATAAATTCCATAATTATACATTTATGGGTCATAGAAAAAAAATCACTAGATGGTTTTCACCTAGATATGTTGAGCCAGTGTGGGTCGCTAGAACCCCCTCCAAAAACATGAGAAAACATCCAGACTTGTTTCGACTTGTTGCCGCTTCAGGCCCAATGTCTCAAAAAAGACCCAAAAAAACTACTCCATCTCCCATTACAATTAGAACATGTATTTCCTATCCTTTTGCTCTACTACTAGGCTCTGCTGCCCGTGTAAATATCTCTACTCTTGGGTCTAACTCATATCATGTAACTTACTTTAGATACATTATCACTAATTGTATTTCACCAAGGAAAAAACAAAAAATACAAATTATGATGATTATAAAAAGACCACCTTTTATAATGATGCCCATACAATTACATAACATGACTTGATATGATAATTCAGCTTTACAGGTACTTAGACAGCTTCATAAATTAATAAGGCCAAAAAGATTTGTTACAACGTTAATATTAGGGATAACAACATTAATATCTATTATTACTACTTTTGCCATTGCCACCACCGCCCTAGTTCAAGAGATTCATACAACTCAATTTATAAATGATTTAAATAAAAATATTTCCTTTACATTATCTAAACAAACAATTATTGACAAAAAATTAAAGACAAAGATTAATATATTAAAAAAAATAATGTTAGCCTTAGGACAAGATATGGCCAATATTAAAAAACTCATAAAAACTAGATGTCATCAAGAATACAAAGCTATTTATATAACTCCACTTCCCTACAATTCCTCTAAAAATTGGGATAAAGTTAAACATCATTTATTAGGGATATAAAAAGATTCTTCCATTACTCATGATTTAGAGATTATTCAAAAAGACATATCGGCCATGAGCCAAGCTCATATACAAGCTGGCTCATTAAATGTCTTAACACAAGGATTACAAAAAAACCTTAAGGCCATAAATCCCTTAGATTGGATTCAATATTTTATTTTCATAGACATTCTTGCCTTAATTATAGTTTATGTTATTATGATTTTCCCTTGTCTTTTCAGGACAATAACCAGATCTCTGGACAATGTACGTGAAGACCTATATGCCTTCCGCCTTAAAAACAAAAAAGGGGGAACTGCCACGCCCACGACGGTGTCGCCCGCGTGACAAATGCCTTGGATGAGGTGGTTACGTGGGAAAGGGGGGCTCGCGGCCCTCGGGTCTATGCCCCCGGCGACCCCTTATCAATCTGCCCGAATCATGGTGCCAGGCTACACGGAACCACGCAAAATCTGCTTACAGAAGCTGGCTGGCATTCTGCCTTTTTTCTCTTTGCAGCTGTGACTATTGCTGTTTCCTTGTGTATTGATTTCAGGGAGTTAACTCTCAATGTTTCTGATGTGCCCCATAAAGAGAATAATGATTCCTCAAAAGTGGCCTCAATACCCCCACCTATAATTCAAGCTTTTAGGCAAACAGTTAAAGAGGGTCCTAGAAGTTTGGGGGAATTTATGAATGACTTAAAACAAAAAAAACTTATGACTCAGAGGGACAAAGAGTCTAGCGAGGAGAGATGAAAGTAAAAGTCCAGGAACTCATAAGCAATCCATACGCGCAGCCAACAGCAGCTGCAAGGAAGCAGTTACAGAAACTAGCCAGTCCTACAAGAATTATCAAGGGACAAATAGAGTTTCTCATCAAGGGTCGGTGGTGGCAACCCCCTAACTTTAATCCTAGATATAATAATTATTTGGAGCCATTGCCCTTTACGGGAGCTTATGATAAACATGGGAACCAATGGGTGAATCATAATAGTATAAAAACAGAATGGCATAAGTTACAGTTCATAAAAAAAATAGCTAGGTCCCAACCCCCCGGTGCCTTCTCACCTGCAAGCAAAGGTTAAATATTTTCACACAAATGAAACCATGGTTAGAACGATGGTGGGAAGGGTTTAATTGTGATACAAAACAAAGGTCTAATAACTACGTAAAAGAAAAAACTTCAGCTAGGGCCGTAATGTTCTCTGTCTGGATGAGGGACCACAAAAGAGGAAATAACACCTGTACTCATAAGATCTATTAATCATTCTAAAAAAATTATGTGACCACATTGTTAATTCTATGTCTATCGCCCCACTGGCCGATTGCCATGTTTCCTCAAATAAATGTATAAAAAACACTGCTTGATCTAAATAAAATTACAACAGTTCACAACATACTCTGATGTCTATGTCTGTCTGTCATTCGCCAAATCCCACTTATCCTGAGTACCTTCAACCCGTTCTCCCTCGGTCTGGTGTTCCTACTGAGACCCAGTCCGCGACAACTCTGTATGAACTTTATCTTCTGTGGGGCGTTTACCCAACCACCCCCACAGTTCCCCAGAGTTTTCTTGAGTGCGAGCAGCAGGAAATATTAGATAGAAGGATTTATTGCGGAGAATATCGTGGAGATAAACAGATAGAAAATAAAGGATAGCCTCGAGAGGGCCTGGAACCTATTCCAACGGGCCTGACTGTCTCTGCCCCAGGGTTTTTATAGAGACGCCAAGGGGTGGAGCAAAAGACCTCCTCCCCCAGCACAGCCAAGTGCAGACCATCTCAGACACCTGCACTCAGGCCAGTGGTCTAATCATCCTCTATGCGGACCTGCTGGGTAAAGCCACGAGGAACCCGAGAACAGGCTCCCACAATCTTCTTCTTGGCAAATTAGCCATTTGGGCAAGAAACTGTTCGCACCTAGACTGCTTGACTGACTAGACATTCAGGACCCATAGGAAGGTGACCACTGAACTTTGCTTGGCAAAATGGTCCTTCAGTTTCCTGCTTCACAGAGGAAACTGCCAAACATTCTACAGTACACAGAGAGAAGTGAATGAGAGACTCTAGGCCTGTGGGCTGAAGACAGATGCCCCAACTTTACTGAGGAACTCTGGATGACTGTCCAGGCTGCCAGCTGTCTCTGTCTACTCTCTCAAAGTTGCTTGCGTCCTTCTCCCATTTCTCAGGTAGTATTATATCCTTCTGAGGTCTTTGATGTAGTTGAAGACTAGATAGTTATAATTTTCCTTAGTTATGATAAAAGATAAGTTAGATATGAAACCTTAGACTCACAAATATAGGATAGATAGGATATCTTCTTTAATTTTGCCAAATACAAATAGACTAGATATTATAACTATAATTCTTGCTTGATAATTGTTTTGTTATATGTCATTTTACTATGTGAAAGTTAAAAAAAAGGGGAAGTGCTGTGGATATCGTTCTGTATAAATAAAATGCTGATTGGCCAGTAGCCAGGCAGGAAGTATAGGTGGAACAAGCAGAGAAGAGAATTCTGGGAAGTGGAAGGCTGAGCCAGGAGATGCTGCCAGCTGCTGCCAGGAGGAGCAGGATATAAAGTACCAGTAAGCCACAAGCCATGTGGCAAGGTATAGATTTATAGAAATGGGTTAATTTAAGATACAAGAACAGATAGCAAGAAGCCTGCCACGGCCATACAGTTTATAAGTAATATAAATCTCTGTGTGTTTACTTGGGGGACACTAGTGGGAGAGATTTGTCCCGACTACCGGCAGGCTAGGAACAGGAAATCTTCTAGCTACTTTTGATTAAATTCCTTATGCCTCTTATCCCCTGTCCTTTGTCTTCTGGAGTAAAAAAATCTCCTTTGTGCTGAGAACTTGGTCTTGGAGTGTCTTGATCCAATACTGATCCCTTTAATGTCGCCTACTGATTATATGCAGCTAACTCTAGACACCAGTATCTTAACCTTGTAATCTACTGATCTGGTTCCAATACAAGTAAATATCCATTTTTTTTTTAATTCACTGAGCTTCATCCCCTCCTCCTAACATTCATTCTGATACATAATTAGCATTTCTTTAAAGTGATACTAGAAATAATAGTTCAATTATCAAATATTAAATAGTAATGAAAAAGCTTACTGGTCTGACGTCACCACAGGAATTTGTAAATTGTCGGGCCAAGCCAAAATCAAGCATGAAACATTTCCTGCATGTACTTGGAAAGCGTCCCATTGCGAAGTTTGACTGGAAAAAAATAAAGACGAAAAATACGTATTCTTATAATATCCAGTCCTACCTACATTTTACACTACATGAATTCTAGTCTATATAGCATGTTCCAGACACACTACTGTAAGTCTATGCTTTTATTAATCATTAATATATAGTATAATTTAGTTGCTGGTTCTAACTTTCAAGGGAAAATTAAAGTTTTTCATAGTGGAGTGTTCTTGTAAATACAATTAGAGACTTGAGAGAGAGAGTTGTTAATGTCTACCTACCACCAGGAAAACTGAGCAAAAATAAATTTAAATGTTTGTATAGTTACATATAATAATGACCTAATTAAATTCAGAACTAGAATTCTTTGAAATTCTAGTCTAAGTTACTGCTTAAATGACAATCCAACCACCTAAACAAGGGAAGCTAGAGATGAGGGGAAATATATATATATAAAATATATATAAACTCAACCTTTTAGTTAAGTATAAGGACTGGTTGTGATGGTGTATGCCTTTAATTCCAGTACTAAAGACAAAGGCAGGCTGATCTCTGTGAGTTCAAGGTCAGACTGGTCTATATAGCAAATTTCAGTTTAATCCTATCTTAATAAAAAACAAATAATAAAATAAAACAATTTTCTATAAGCATCATAAAGCTGAACTTCACTAAAATTAAAAATACAATTTAGTGGCCGAAAGACATTTAAGGAACTGCTCAACATCCCTAATCATCAGGGAAATGCAAATCAAAACAACTCTGAGATACCACCTTACGCCTGTCAGAATGGCTAAGATCAAAAACACTGAAGACACCTTATGCTGGAGAGGATGTGGAGCTAGGGGAACTCTCCTCCACTGCTGGTGGGAATGCAAGCTTGTACAACCACTTTGGAAATCAATATGGCGCTTTCTTAGAAAATTGGGAATCAATCTCCCCCAAGATCCAGCTATACCACTCTTGGGCATATACCCAAGAAATGCTCAACCACACCATAAGAGCACTTGTTCAGTTATGTTCATATCAGCATTGTTTGTAATAGCCAGAACATGGAAACAACCCAGATGCCCTTCAACTGAAGAATGGATAAACAAAATGTGGTACATATACACAATGGAATACTACTCAGCAGAGAAAAACAATGGCATCATGAGGTTTACAGATAAATGGATGGATCTAGAAAAAATCATCCTGAGTGAGGTAACCCAGACTCAGAAAGACAAACATGGTATGTACTCACTCATAGCAAGATACTAGACATGAAACAAGGATGACTTGTCTGCTACTCACATCACCAGGGAGGCTACCTGGAAAACAGGACCCCAAGAAAGACACAGGGATCACCCAATGACAGAGAAATGGAATGAGATCTACATGAACAGCCTGGACATGAGTGGGGGTAATGAAAGGCGAGGGTTGAGGGAAAGAGAGCTTGGGGGAGCGGGAGATCCCAGCTGGATCAACAACAGAGAGGGAGAACAAGGAATAGGAGACCATGGTAAATAAAGACCACATGAGAATAGGAAGAAGCAAAGTGCTAGAGAGGCCCACAGAAATCCACAAAGATACCCACACAACAGACTGCTGGCAGTGGTCGAGAGACAGCCCGAACTGACCTACTCTGGTGATGGGATGGCCAAACACCCTAATTGTTGTGCTAGAAACCTCATCCAACTACTGAGGGATCTGGATGCAGAGATCCATGACTAGGCCCCGGGTGGATCTCTGGGAGTCCAATTAGCGAGAATGAGGAGGGTTTATATGAGCGAGAATTGTTGAGACCAAGGTTGGATAAAGCACAGGGACAAATAGCCAAATGAATGGAAACACATGAACTATGAACCAATGGCTGAGGGGTCCCCACTGGATCAGGCCCTCTGAATGGATGAGACAGTTGATTGGCTTGATCTGTTTGGGAGGCATCCAGGCAGTGGGACCAGATCTTGTGCTCATTGCATGAGTTGGCTGTTTGAAACCTGGGGCCTATGCAGGATTGTTTGGCTCGGCCTGGGAGGAGGGGACTAGACCTACCTGGACTGAGTCTACCAGGTTGACCTCAGTCTGTGGGGAAGGCTTTGCCCTGGAGGAGATGGGAATGGGGGGGGGGGGGGGGGGTTGGGGGGAAGGTGAGGGGGACGGGAGGGGGGAGAACAAGGGAATCCGTGGCTGATATGTAGAACTGAATTGTATTGCAAAATAAATTAATAAAAAAAAAAGAAATAAAAAAAAAATACAATTTAGAAAAAACATTCCAAAATAGTCCTAAGGAAAAAATGCTTTACATTTTTTTCTCCTTAAAAAAAAATAATCAGTGTAACTAGATGTGATGGCATATACTTTTAATTCCAGCATTCAGGAAACAGAGACAAGATTATCAGTTTAAGGCCACCCTGAACTACACAGCAAGTTGGAGGTCAGTCTTAGCTATACAAGACCCTGTCTCAAAACAAAACAAAGAGCCCCCAAACCTAAAAATCTATGTAATGTGTTGTGTCAAATGACTGCAAATTTAGAAAGTTAGATATGCAAAAAAAGGGAATTTGTAATGGCAAAATCCAAGCTATCACATCAACATTTACTTTTAAAAAAGTATAATTTTCCTAAGGAGCTTCCTGATGAAAGGACAGAGAAGGGCACAGGACAACAACAGAACAAAAAAAGGAAAAACCAGTTGTATTTACACAGTAGTTCTTAGGAGAAGATTAAGGTCTTTCATAGTTAATTATTCTAATGAACACATTTGGTGACTTGAGAAAATGAACAACTGTTATGAAGAAACACAATCACACTAACAATTTATGTATGAGGCTGAATAATTAGCAATGCTAAAATATCTAATTAAGAACTGGCAAGCACAGAACTTGCATGTGAAGGTGCCTGTGGGGACCAGAGGACAACCTTAGGTGTTGTTCCTCAAGCAGGCTAGGGGTGGCTGGCCAGTGAGCCCCAGAGATCCTCCAGAGATCCTCCTATCTCACCTGTCCAGCACTTGGACTACAAGTATGTACCACCATACCCATTTTTTTAAAACATGGGTTCTGGGCATCCAACTCAAGACTCAAGTCTTAAAGTGCTTTACTGGCTGAGTCGTCTCCCAGGCCCAGCATAGACTTTTTAATTTAGCTGGCAAGAAACATTTCCTGGTATGAGAAAAGCTATTGAAAATAAGCTGTAATTTCTGATTACCGCTTTAAAAACAAAACTAAACTAAACTAAACTAAAAGGTAAATTATTTTTGCTTTTAGGGCATTACAGAAATAAAAACATTTCTTTGTATTTAACCATAACAAATAAAAGAAAAAAAACTACACTAGCATACATTTTGTCTCCTAACATTAGAATACCAAGCAATAGCCTTCTATGCTTGGAAAAGACAAGGCCCCTACCGGTTTGATGTCTCTGTGAAGGAATCCCACAGAATGGATGCTTTCAATAGACTCCAGAATCTGTCTCCCGAGCCGAAGAGTAGTGCTAATGGTGAATGTGCCCCGGGACTGGCTCCGTCGAAGATCTGCCAGATTCCGACCCTATGAAATCGGATAATCACTTTAAAATACAGTCCTAATACTGTGATAAGACTCAAAACATTCACTATATCACCACATTATAAAATACTGTGACTGAAATAATAAGGCTCTTGCCTAAGCTGTGATCTTTTTTCTTTTTTTTTTTCTTTTTCTTTCGAGACAGGGTTTCTCTGTGTAGTTTTGGTGCCTGTCCTAGATCTCACTCTCTAGACCAGGCTGGCCTCGAACTCACAGAGATCCGCCTGGCTCTGCCTCCCGAGTACTGGGATTAAAGGTGTGTGCCACCACCACCTGGCTAGCTGTGATCTTCTAACTCCAAGAATTATGTATGTGTATCCCTCTTTGTATACATGACTGTGGGTGCCCTCAGAAATCAGAAGAGGACATTTGATCACCTAGAGCTAGAATTAAAGATGGCTGTGAGCTACTCAACATGGGTGCTAGAAACTGAACTCCAGTCCTCTAGAAAAGCAGCAAGAGCTCTTAACCTGAGTCATCTCTCTCCAGCCCTAAGAATAAGCATGCTGTTAGCAATTATGTTCCTAAGTCGTCATGTTTTGATTTATCCTTGCTATTCTAAAAATGTCGACTTGGATCCTTCTTTCCTTCTTTTCCTTTTCCTCCTTTCCTTTTCTTTCTTTCTGAGGGCGTCTCATGTACACCAGTCTAACCTTGAACTCCCTGTGCAACCAAGGATGACATTGAACTGATCTGGCCTTCAACTCTCAATTTCCAGGATGACCAGTGTGCATCACCAAGCCAAGTTTATGCAAGGATGGGAATTGAACCCAGAGCCAGAGCTTCATGCATAGTCAAACTCTACCAACTAAGCTAATCATCAGCCCCTTAGATGTGACTATTTTAAAAAATATAAAATACAGATATCTGTTCTAGTTTTATTTCTGTTACTATGATAAACACTGTAACAAAAAACAGCATAAGGGAAGAAAGGGTTTATATGGCTTACAATTTCAGTTACAGTCCATCATTTTTGGGGAAAGTCAAGACAGCAACATAAGCAGTTAGTCACATTACATTCACAATTAAGAGCAAAAAGAAAATAAACACATCCTGTCTTGCCTGTCCTCAGCTAACTTTCTTCTCTTTTCCAGTGTTCAGGAACTCCTGTCTAGGAATGATGCTGCCCACAAAAGACTGGATCTTCCTACATCAACTAAAAATCAAGGCATTCCCCCACAGCTGTACCTACAGACTAACCAGACCAAGACAATCCTCATTGAGACCCCTTTCCAGGTGGTTCTAGATTGTGTCAAGATAAAACTAAGCAGCACAAATATCCAAAGCAGTATTCCTCATTATTGCCCAACACACACTCTCTACAAGTTACTTAATTTTCCTACATCAGTTTTTTAAATGAAAAAAGTTAATAATACTTCATATAATTTTATAAGGATTAAATAAAAACCACACGAAGTTTCTGGAATACTGCCTTGTACTCAACAAATCCTAAGGACTGTTATTATTAGCAAATATTATAGGAAACAGAAGGCCATAAAGGACAACAAAAGTTAAAACAATTAGGTGATGGTATGGATACGATATGAGTCAGCTAAAACATAAACTAGACATCTGGGGAGATAGCTAGTACAGGATATCTGAGGAACACAGAGTAAGCAGTGATGTAATCTCTTATATAACTAGTTTTGGCCAAATGCCACTCTTTGTGTGATTGTTTTCTATCAACATGGCCTTGAGGTTGGAGGCAAGTGTCCTTGCTTTGGCTTTGGCCTGTGCAGCCTGCATGCTGTGCCCACTTGCCTGTCAGCATCTGCCTGCCTGTAGTCTGTGTGCTGGTAAATAAAGTATCTTGTATATGCTTAAAACCTCTCATATTCTCTTCAGCTTCCTAGCCTCCTTCCGACCCTCCCTCGTCCTTGACATCAAAGCTCAGGCCTCACAAATATGATACAGCAAATATTCAGCTATCGAAGCAGCCAGCCTGGTCTACAAAGTGAGTTCCAGAACAGCCAGGGCTGTTACACAAACCCTGTCTTGAAAAAAACAAACAAACAAACAAAACTACATCCTAGATAATACCAAGATTTAGATTAAAAACTACTACTATCATAAGAACAACCAACAGGAATCAATTAACTTGATTAATACCAGTAATTATTTAAATGTCATAAAAGGTAATTTTAATGTATCAACTGGTGATTGGGGCATAATGTCTCATGCCTATAATTCTAGTAGTTTTTATTAATGTTGTTATTATTTTGAGTCAAGTCTTATGTAGTCCAGGCTAGACTGGATTTTGCTACATACAGCAGAGGGTTGACTTTAAATTCTTTTTTTTGTTTGTTTGTTTTTGTTGTTGAGACAGGGTCTATGTAGCCCTTGTCTGTCCTGGAACTTGCCATGCTGACTTTGAATTCTTATCCTCCTGCCTCTACCTCTTGAGTTTGGGAATTACAGGAGTGTACCATCACACAGAGCTAATCTCAACATTAGGGAGACAGAAGAAGTTAAGGCCAGCCTGCACTACAAAGTGAGCACCATGCTAGCTTCGACTATAGAATGAAATCCCACTTCATAATAGCAACAACAATACACACACACACATCAGAAAAACAAAAACAAAAAACCTAACAAAATCTGGGAGGATAAACACAAGGCTGACACAAGAATAGTGTTGTGGGGAGGGGCTGTTCTTTTTTTAAAAAGGGGGATCTTTTCATATAGTAAGAAATTCATATGCAAAAAAAAATTTTAGAACTTATATTTTTCTCCAAAGTAATTCTATAAATTTAACAAGATCAAACTACATTTTGTTGTTGTTTTTTGAGTAATGAAAATGCATAAAGCCAGAAATAGTGCCACATACCTGTAATTCTGGTACTTGGGAAACAGAGACTATTGCCAAAAGCTTGAGGTTAACCTAGTCTACAGAGGAACTTCTAGGCCAAATGGGGCTATATAGTAAGATCCTGTCACACACAGGATCTTTATTAAAAAATAAAAATAAAATAAAAATAAGTAAATGAAAGAGGGGGGGTATTGGGGGAGAAAGAGGATGAGATCTGAAGGGAGAGGAAAGGGAAAGAGATTGGGTATCATACTAAATGAAGAGAGTAATACAGTGAATTCCCAGGATAAGAGGTCATTAACCAGGCACAGTAGCTAGTAATCATAGTAAGTCCAGATGTGCTTGCTCAAACCTAATCTCAGCACTTGAGGTGGAGACCTAAGGATTAGGATGTCAAGGCAGTTCTAAGGTACATACTAAGGCAAGACCAGCCTAGGCTACATGAAATCCTGTCTTAAAAAAAAAAAAAAAAAAGGAAAAACCCACACAAAAAGAAAACAAAAACAAATATAAAAAAAGTAACTATCACTTCACTGACAATATATTTTCATAGATAATATACCTTCTCAAATGTAACTCTCTCCCATTCTAAACATATTACTTTCATGTAAATTCCAATGATATAATTTCATCTATATATTAAAAGAATGTAGGACCAAAGAAATAAAAATACAGAAAGAAGTAATCAGCATGTCTACTATTATAAATTTTACTTAGAAGCATTAAGTAAAATTTTGTTTGTTTGTTTGTTTGTTTGTTTTCTGTCTTTCAAGACAGAATTTCTCTATGTAGCCCTGGCTGTCCTGGAACTCACTTTGTAGATCAGGCTGGCCTTGAACTCAAAGATCCACCTGCCTCCATCTCCCAAGTGTGGATTAGAGGTATGAGCTACCACACCCAGCTAAAATTGAACTTCTTTAATCCATCTTCTTAAAAAAAAATCAGAGACAATGACCAATCCCATTGCAATAGGTACACATAACATCCAGATCATCTCTAAAACATATTTCCCATTAAAAGGAACCAGGGTTGAATGGAGGAACAGCTGGAGCATGAAATACAGAGAATGAACATAGTACACACTATTGCATCAGAAAATAAGGATGCTTTTAAAACACTACCTAATCAGGTCAAAGTGAAACCCAGAGAAAGTCTCACTAGCCAAGGCAGAAACATAATGAACATTCAAAGCTACAGGCCCGGCTTGATGGCATACTCTGATAATCCTTGTTTGAAAGGCTCAGGCAGAAGGTGTGGAGACAATCTGGGATGCATGGTGAGTGACACCCTCCTGTCACACAAAAGGAAAAGCTGCAATGTCAGTTGCACAGTTGGTAATTTTATTGAGAGTTTGTAATTTTATTGAGAGGGAGGAAAGGGAAGAGAGAGACTATAAATTCACAAAGGAAAGCAGGCACTCCTGTCTCTTATAGGAAAATATTAGTGAACCAACTAATAGTTCTGAAAACTGATTAAAATAATGGAGTCTATATTAACCCTGACTTTCCTATATAAAAGGTATACTTCAGGGTAGCCTCTATCGCATGAAATACTTTTAAAGGAAGAATTTTATCTAAGTGGAGAAGAAATGATACAATTAGAATGGTGAATTTGGAAATCCCACTGAAATCACAGGCCATGCTTACTAATGGACTGAAAAAAAAAGGAAAACAAGGTGCGGAAAAATCACTAAAAACTTCAAAATAGGTGGGCCAGGCTGCAGGGAGGTTAAGGTGCTGGCTCTCAGCATGCAGCTGGAAGTGTATATGCCACCTCTCAACTGCCCTTGCCAAGGAAGTGGAAATTAGAATCTAGCCATCAGTTTATGAGAAATGGGTGGGGAGTGTAACGACATGTTACATATCAATAAACAGAAACAATCAGCAAAATCCAAAATAAGAGAATTTCTACACTAAAACAACAAAGAAGGAATCTTCAAGTAAGTAAGACAGAAGAACCAGCAGATCAAAAAAGGCTTAAGAAATAAACAATGTATGGACCCTATTGATAGCCAGATTCAAGTAAGCCAAATGAAAAATAAATAAATAATAGGGTAATCGAGTAAATCTGGAAAACCAGCCAAGCATGGTGGCATATTCTTTTTTTGTTTGTTTGTTTTTGTTTTGTTTTGTTTTTGAGACAGGGTTTCTCTGTGTAGCTTTGGAGCCTGTCCTGGAACTCAATCTGTAGACCAGGCTGGCCTCGAACTCACAGTGATTCGAATGCCTCTACCTCCCAAGTGCCAAGATCAAAGGTGTGCATCACCACTGCCCAGCTGTGGCATATTCTTTTAAGCCCAGCACTTGAGAGGCAGATGTAGATGCATCTCTGTGAGTTCCAGCACACTCAGGGCTACATAGGGAGATCCTGTCTCAAAAAAAAAAAAAAAAAAAAAAAAAGATAGAGTTCATATTAGTGGCAAATTTGAGAGAAAACAGGGACCACATTAATGAACTGAAAAATGTAAAAAGGTAAGCACTCCAATAAATTAGAGTATGCTAACTTGAGATGATGAATCATGTAACCAAGAAAGACTTTAAGGGCCAGTGAGATGGCTCAGCAGGCAAAGGCGCTTGCTGCCTAGTCTGACACCTAAGTTCAAACCCTGGGACTCACACAGTAGAAGGAGAGACCCAGCTCCCACAAGTTGTCCTCTGACCTCCACACACACCATGGTACACTCCTCCAATCCCCAATTAATTAATTTCAAACAAGACTAAGCCAACCATCTTAGCACACAGCTATAATCTTAGAAATCAGGAGGCTAAGGTAGGGGGATCCTGAGGTTAAGGCCAGTCTTGGCTATATCATCTTGTGCTATTCAGTGAGACCACACTTTAAAAAGATGAACAACTACAACAACAACTATAATTTACAGAAAGGGTAACATCTTTAGGTCAAAGTCAAATATTGAAGGATACTTGAGAAAAAGAAAAGTCTTCTGAAAAGAAGAGAAAACATTTAGGTCAAGGTTTATGAATTTAACTCACTGTCATGTAAATAATATGAAAGAAAATAAAGAAACCAAATGTTCAAAATAAAGTCTGCTAAAGAAGAAAGGAAACTGTGAGAACTGAACATCAGGCAGTGAACCACGGTTTGAAGCTTCGAGACGACTATACTGTGTGTTGAGGAGCACAGGCAACATCAAGGAAATGACTGGTTTCCTGATTCTCCCTATTGTACTTGTTACTCTTGCATATTCTTTAGGAACTGCTACTCTTTCAGCCCAACTCTACTCTAAAAGGGAAGGAACAGTGCTATGCTGATGGACAAGAAAGAGGAACAGCATTCTTCCTTTATTCCAACTAATGCTTACAATTTTAATGTAGTGGCTGGTACTTGAGAGCATGAGTGGAGATTTGAAATGCCTGAGGTTAGAAAGATGAAAAGAGAAGGAACATGGAAAGGCAAGGTTCACATTACAGCCCACAATCCACTTTAAGATTAAACGCTATGAAAAAATGATGACCAATAAAGGTACAGACAAACTAAAATAGATGACCATTTCATTTTTTGGAAAATCTATACCAAGTCTAAATAAATCTCTATGTACAGTGTATAGCATTTGGACATGATAACAAGAATGCTGTCATTTTTATGCATAGTCACTGTAACTGGGTATTTTGATCAAAACGAAAAGATTTGAAGACACATTTTCAAGGTAACATACCTGCAATTGCATGACCACATAGTTGAAACGATCGTTTCTCCCACAGCCAATAAATCTACAAACATGGTCTTTCCCTGGATGAAAAGAGAAAGAAAACAGTGGAAAAGAATGTATTATAGTTTCTCTTTTAAAAAATTAACAAATTCGCCGAGCGGCAGTGGCGTATGCCTTTAATCCCAGCACTCGGGAGGCAGAGCCAGGCAGATCTCTGAGAGTTCGAGGCCAGCCTGGTCTACAGAGCGAGATCCAGGACAGGCACCAAAACTACACGGAGAAACCCTGTCTCAAAAAAACAAAAACCAAAACAAAACAAAACCAAAAAAAGTTAACAAATTGGATTTCTGTATAGTACTTTATGACAATATAAACTATATAAAATGTGTCTTGAGACCATAAGGAACAGGAAATTTATATTATTTTATTTTTATCCACCCATCGCTAGGTCCCGCTCTGCTCCTTGCATACTCAAATAAATGTTAAATGAAGTAAAGAAATAAATTAATAAGGGAATAACTAAAGGTGATTTATTTAGAAAGGAAAGTATTTTAAAAGTCACTTAAGATTAACCTGAGCAGATACAGTAAGAACCATGTTAGACATACAAACACTGAGTTTTACACATATTCTGACATACACTATTTACATTACTGTAGCAAGTTACATGATCTTTCTTGGTCTCACTGATTTGGATCAGCCTTGTGCTTTCAACCCTAGTTTAACATGTGAAATCTAAGACTAGCTGGGATATATAGAAGGAATGAGAAAAACAGGAAAAAATCTGGGACCATCTCCTGATTTTAAAAAGTATACTACCGTCCCCAAATCCAATCAAGCCCAGGAAATTACAGAAAAGACACTTGGCTCAACACAGAAAATGAGAGGAGAGCAGACAGAGATGGTGCTGGAGAGGCAGGCAGGAACTAGATGAAGAATTGTGTGCTCCATGGTGAAGAATCTGAACTACACGTATACATCAGTGGTTTCCAAGGGTGGCTATCATCACAACCATCTGGACAACTTCAAGATTCCTAAACGCCACAATCTGTATGGGAAAGGTACAACTTTTCCAAGTTCTATAAATAAACTGGGGACTGAGAGGGCAGAGGCAGGAAAGTTTAAGGCCAGCCTCCACTACATGAGTTCAAGGCCTGCCTGGGCTAAATGGTGAGACTATCTCAGAAGACAAAAACAAAAGCCCTGTGAAAACAAAGAAGAAACTTTAAAATACAAAATATTAACTTAAAATATAAATCAGCATGAACAAAACTAAAGAGTCCTTCAAAAAAGAAAATACAGACTACTCTGACAGGAAGAAAATTCTGAGACCAGGTTATCACAGAAATGACAAATTCCATAGAAAAGCTGGGCCGAGCCCAGGAGATGGGTCAGTGGGAAGAGCACTTGCTGTGCGTTCATGAGGAGGCAGAGACAGAACAACTGCTAAGACGTGCTAGACAAAAAACTGACTTTCAGAGTCAGTGAGAGATCCTGTCTAAAGAGAAATGAGGCAAAGAGTAATAAAGGAAGATGTCCAGTATCTTCCGCTGGTCTCTTCACAGGTGTGCATGGGGGCACACGCATGCACACACACACACATACACACACACAAAAAGCAAAGGTTACTCATATAAATAATTAGGCAGTCACTTCAGACTAGAAGGGATAGAAGCCTATAGAGGGTAAATGAAATATGAGACTATGAGGGTAGACAATCTTTGAAGTTAGCTTGTAAAAATAAAACAATATTGACACACCGGAGGCTATAAATCTGTTAGACTGAAGAAAAAGATTAAAACACATTTCAAAAGTAATTTGTCCACTTAAAACAAAAATGAAGTCAAGCTATTATTATTATTATCTTTGTTTGGTTGGTTTGGTTTTTGGAAACAAGGTTTTGTTAGCCCAGGATGGCCCTGAAATCTTCATTCTCCTGCCTTAGATTCCTGAGTGCTGGGATTACAGGCCTGTAATTTTTTGTTTGTTTGTTTGTTTTGAATCTGGGTTATCAGTTACCACACTGGTGATCAATTAGCAACCTTTTCCTCAGCTTCAGGCACAGAAAAAGCACAAAGCTTTAATTAATCAACTTGTTGTCAATTATGGTGGTATTTTATTTGTACTGAAATGTGATTTTAATTGTATGTTAATAAATAAAGTTGCCCGGGGGGTCAGAGCTATTAGAGCCATAGCAAAAGCTGGGTGGTGGTGGCGCATGCCTTTAATCCCAGAACTTGGTAGACAGAGCTAGGTAGATCTCTGTGTGTTCAAGGATACAGCCAGCATTGGAGACACACGCCTTTAATCTCAATACCAACCATAGAAGACCTGGAAGTCTCTACAGACAGGCAGTGACGAGACGGTCATGTGTTTGGGTTTATGACCAATGAGAAGGCAGAACAGCTAGACTATATAAAGACATACACACAGGAAGTAGCTCCTTTTCGGAGAGCTCTCTTGGCTGAAGAGGATCGCTGAAGCAGGAAGGGTAAGGCTCTTAGCTCTGACCTCTTGGCTTTCTTCTCTGAATCGGCTCTGGGTTTCTTATTTAATAAGACGGTTGGTTACATCTACAGTCAATAGAGACCTCATTTTCACTGCTGGAAACACACTGAAGTGAGTACAGCATTTGCTAGCATGCATTAAATCTGAGATTCTATCCTTAACACTATGAAAGAACAAAATGAACAAGAAAAAGATTCGCCTACCACACTTTAAAGACCAGGTGTCGATCCTGCCTCAGCCTCCAAACTGTGGGGTCACAGGTACAGACTACTGTGCCCAGCTTCTTGGATCATTTACATTACAAAGACATTTCAGTCATATAAAAACAAAAGACAGTACTAGATTTAATTCCTTTTAGAATGCTCCTCTAAAATATCTATATTACACTATAGTACTTTGTCCCTTGCTATCAAAATCACCCTGCTTTTTGGTGTTGCTTTGTTTGTTTGTTTATGTGTTTTTTGAGACAGGGTTTCTCTGTAGCCCTGGCTGGCCTGGAACTCTCTGTAGACCAGGCTGGCTTTCAACTCATAGAAATCCACCTGCCTCTGCCTCCTGAGTGCTGGGACCAAAGGGGTGCACCACCACTGCCCAGGCTCAACCCAGTGATTTTTGTTTGTGTGTTTGTTTAGCAGTACTGGGGACTGAACCAACTATCCTATACATGCTAGTCAAGTACTCTACCACTAAGATAAATCCTCTCTAGCCTTTTATTTTACTTTTCAACTTGAGGCAGTCTCAATGAGTTGCCTAAGCTAGCTCTGAACTTCTGATCCTCCTATCAGCCTCCAGAGTGCTAAGATTATAGGCTTGCATCACACACTTAACCTGAATTACTCTACTTTAAAAAAGAAAAACAAATATAGATTTGAATAAACTATTGATTCTTTATTGAGCAATCAAAACATGGCCAGTGGCAAATTTTCTAGAATTTGTCAATACATTTCTATCATTAAGGTGATAATTTAATGAGTTCATTTCTTATACCTTATAGTGTATAGTTTCTCTTTTATACTTATGCAATTAATGAAACTATTTAATAATGTTAACACAATAAAAAATGTATGTGTTTGGAGGAGCTTTGACTTAATGACAACAGTAACTCTTCAGTACCACTAGAGCAACTGCTCAGATGACTTCTGTGTACCCAGTAAATGCAGAGGCTAGCTAGGAGTACAGGGAGCACATAGTGTCCCGGTACCTGATACAATACCTAATAAACAGTGAGACAGTATTTGCAAGTAAAAAATTAAGAGAAATAATAGTTAATAAAATATATATGATATGCAAGCAATATTCCATTTTATGCATTTTCATGCATTCAATTCTCATAATAATATAAGTATTAGTATTTCCTTTATTTTTCAGATACAGAAGTAGAAAACTGGTAAGGTTAATTACTTAGTTCAAAATCATACGGCTAGAAAATGATGGTGCAATTAGATTCCAAAGCTTTTATGCTTTTTTTTAAAAAAAAAAAACCACTACATTGTGGTGGTATTGTGTTCCCCAAAATATTGTGCACCCTAATAAACTTATCTGGGGTCAGAGAACAGAAAAGCCACTAGATACTTAGGATAGAAAATGTTGGCACTCACACCTTTAATCCTAGCATTCCAGAGGCAGAAATCCATCTGGAATCTCTGTGAGTTCAAGGCCACATTGGAAACAGCTAGGCATGGTGACACACGCCTTTAATCTCAAGAAGTGAGCCTTTAATCCCAGGGAGTGATGGTAGAAGGCAGAAAGGTAAATAAGGTGTGGGGACCAGAAACTAGAAGCATTTGGCCTGATTAAGCATTTGGCTGGTTAAGCTTTCAGGCTTCTAGCAGCAGTTCAACTGAGATTCATTCTGGATGAGGACTCAGAGGCTTCCAGTCTGAGGAAACAGGGTCAGCTGAGGAACTGGTGAGGTGAGGTGGCTGTGGCCTGTTCTGTCTCTCTGATCTTCCAGCGTTCACCCCAATACCTGGCTCAGGTTTGACTTTATTAATAAGAACTTTTAAGATTCATCCAAATAGGCCTCTCTGCCAACGCAGCAATCCAAATCAGACCAAATTAGGAAATGGCCCAGTTTAATGGGTAAAGCGTTCCTGGGTGATTCCCTGGCCCAGCAGAGAGGAAAGGGGATGAGAGACCGGAAAAACCACGTGTTTGTTTACTGGCATGCAGCTTATATACCCTGTGGGTGTGGTCTTGAGCCTCTCTGGGGGTGGGGGAGCTGTATCTGGCGGGCTTTGAAGGGACGGGTTTAGGGAAAGAGATAGGGGAAGAAAGTTGAGGTGGGTCTTCCACCAGAACGTTTCAGACTCTTTGGGTATAGAGATGCCAGGGTGCCAGGGGTTGAGGTGGAGCTCCCACCCAAACATGAGTATGCTAGACTCATGTGGAGGTCAGAAGACAACTTGTAGCAGTCAGTTCTCTCTCAAACTTCTGGGTCCCAGAGATGAAACTCAGGTTGTAAGGCTTAGAGGCAAGTACCTTTACCAGCTGGACCACCCTTCTGGCCCTAGAAAAACCTTCATTCTTAGCCATTACATCAGAAACAACTGAAACAGATTTTAAACTCAGG